TCTGGAGTCATTCTTTCGTTCTATTTCAATAGAGGCCATCTTCAACGTAATTTTTAATTTCCGTAATCCATATTCTATGCAGCATGTGGAAATATTTATATCATTTTCTCTCAACAGTTTAGTTTTTATGGCTTTGAGGGTAATTCCAGGTTGACTTTCTATATAGAACTCGATCAGACTTAAAACTTGTGGTGTCAACAACTTAGTTCTATTTCCTCCACGCGTATTTTCCTTCAATGTTCCAAAATTTTGTTTGTATCTTCTTATAAATGTTTTTTTGGAACCCCTTCATTAAGATAAGCAGTTACCTTATCATCAACAATTTATTAAGTCGCATTTAGGACCGGGTATTCAATTCTTGTTCTTAAATATTTATTTATTAACATGTCAAGAAATACCCCAGTTTGTATTACTATTTATTTAGTTTTATGTAGTAAAGATATTAAATGAAATCACATCGAATTAAAGAATATTTATGTTAATTACATAGCCATAGTTGTTAATATTCTTTGATATAATTTTCAAATATTGGTTTAAAATTACTGCAAATATTATATTTCCTTATATAAGAATAAAGGTTTCATTTAATTTGGAAAAAGTTTCATTCTATTTGTAAAAGGTTTCATTTCAATTGGAAAAGGTTTCATTCTATTTGTAAAAGGTTTCATTTCAATTGGAAAAGGTTTCATTTAATTTGGAAAAGGGTTCATTTAATTTGGAAAAGGTTTCATTTAATTTGGAAAAGGGTTCATTTAATTTGTAAAAGGTTTCATTTAATGTGGAAATGCTATATATATATATATATATATATTCGAAAATTAAAAAATTCGGAACAAAATTTATTAAAACATAAAGGGACATAAAAACAAAATTAATATGATGAAAAATACAGTTAATTTCGTAGTCTTATTAGCCCATTTAAAATTTTGAGAAATCGACGACACTGGGCATGTTCAAAGGTGTCTCACCTGTGGCATTTAAAATTGCTGAAATTTATAACTTTTTTTGTAGGAAACATATATGGAAGAAAATACATTATTTATGTTTGAAATGATTTTTGGAATCCAAAAAAATTGTTTAACGAAAGAAAACGATCACCGAATTCTTCCTGCTTCCTGCTCACTGGAACATCGGAATCCGAAAATTCCAACGGTGTTAGAAAGAGTACATGTCTGGCTCTCGTATGAACTAGGATTATTGACTTCGCTCTAAAATTAACTAAATGGCGGACCTTTGAAAAATATTTTTGGAAAATCGCCGATTTTTGATCAAAAACCAAGTTAAAAAATAAGGAAGATCTTCACCGATTGGCTTTATCCTAGTTCATACGATAGCTATACACTCACAGAGAAACGTGTAAAAATTTGAAATCGATTGGGTTATTAGTTTTTGAGTTATCGTGCCCGCCATTCGCAAAAAATGTTTAGAGAAAAACGCGTTTAAAGTTTGAGAAGCCCTTTAGCCGTCACTTGATGCTGACACAATAAATCGGCTATATCTCAAAGAGTTCTTGAAATTTTCACTTGAAATTTTGTAGGGACATTCTTGAATCAGTGTAGATTCGAATTAAATAAAAAAAATTGACCCCGAGAATGGGGGGCCCCCTTAAAAGATTTTTGAAATTTTCCATATATAGCATTTCCACATTAAATGAAACCTTTTACAAATTAAATGAACCCTTTTCCAAATTAAATGAAACCTTTTCCAAATTAAATGAAACCTTTTCCAAATTAAATGAACCCTTTTCCAAATTAAATGAAACCTTTTCCAATTGAAATGAAACCTTTTACAAATAGAATGAAACCTTTTCCAATTGAAATGAAACCTTTTACAAATAGAATGAAACTTTTTCCAAATTAAATGAAACCTTTATTCTTATCTAAGGAAATATAATATTTGCAGTAATTTTAAACCAATATTTGAAAATTAAATCAAAGAATATTAACAACTATAGTTGTATGGCTATGTAATTAACATAAATATTCTTTAATTCGGTGTGATTTCATTTAATATATTTACTACATAAAACTAAATAAATAGTAATACAAACTGGGGTATTTCTTGACATTTTAATAAATAAATATTTAAGAACAAGAATTGAATACCCGGTCCTAAATGCGAAATACATATTTGACTTAATAAATTGTTGATGATAAGGTAACTGCTTATCTTAATGAAGGGGTTCCCGACTTGCAGCTTGTGGGATTTTCAAAACCATGTCCATAACGTAGTTAGAACAATCTTGCCGAGTAAGCTTTTGAATACTTCGCTCGATTACATCAACAATGTTATGTTCCATTGAAACGTCACACAGCTCAGCTCTTGGACATAATTTTATTTTTGAAAATGCATTTTCGATTGGATTTAGCATTGGAGAATAAGGCGGTAAGAATTTAAGGTTGCATCTTTTGGATTCGATCAAATTTTTTATGTCATGTCGCTTGTGTATTTGAGCGTTATTTTCCAACTCTGGATTGATTTTCTCAAAAAAAAAAATTCTATAAATAATTTAAATCTGTCTGCATTGACACTGGAATTAGAAACGATTGTGTGATGTACAACTTCCGCGTTGTTTATTGCTGCAATTATAGTGACATTACGACCTCTGACCGTGGGCAACATAATGTGTGCTCTTGTTCCTTGTTTTGAACGGGCTTGGGTTCTTCGTATGTGAAGATTAAATCCACACTCATCAATGAATATTAATTTTTCTCCTCGTTGGGGTATCCATTTTGTAAAGTCTTGAGCATATTTTTGTCTCAAGCCTAATGTTCTGGAGTCATTCTTTCGTTCTATTTCAATAGAGGCCATCTTCAACGTAATTTTTAATTTCCGTAATCCATATTCTATGCAGCATGTGGAAATATTTATATCATTTTCTCTCAACAGTTTAGTTTTTATGGCTTTGAGGGTAATTCCAGGTTGACTTTCTATATAGAACTCGATCAGACTTAAAACTTGTGGTGTCAACAACTTAGTTCTATTTCCTCCACGCGTATTTTCCTTCAATGTTCCAAAATTTTGTTTGTATCTTCTTATAAATGTTTTTTTGGAACCCCTTCATTAAGATAAGCAGTTACCTTATCATCAACAATTTATTAAGTCGCATTTAGGACCGGGTATTCAATTCTTGTTCTTAAATATTTATTTATTAACATGTCAAGAAATACCCCAGTTTGTATTACTATTTATTTAGTTTTATGTAGTAAAGATATTAAATGAAATCACACCGAATTAAAGAATATTTATGTTAATTACATAGCCATAGTTGTTAATATTCTTTGATATAATTTTCAAATATTGGTTTAAAATTACTGCAAATATTATATTTCCTTATATAAGAATAAAGGTTTCATTTAATTTGGAAAAAGTTTCATTCTATTTGTAAAAGGTTTCATTTCAATTGGAAAAGGTTTCATTCTATTTGTAAAAGGTTTCATTTCAATTGGAAAAGGTTTCATTTAATTTGGAAAAGGGTTCATTTAATTTGGAAAAGGTTTCATTTAATTTGGAAAAGGGTTCATTTAATTTGTAAAAGGTTTCATTTAATGTGGAAATGCTATATATATATATATATATATATATATTCGAAAATTAAAAAATTCGGAACAAAATTTATTAAAACATAAAGGGACATAAAAACAAAATTAATATGATGAAAAATACAGTTAATTTCGTAGTCTTATTAGCCCATTTAAAATTTTGAGAAATCGACGACACTGGGCATGTTCAAAGGTGTCTCACCTGTGGCATTTAAAATTGCTGAAATTTATAACTTTTTTTGTAGGAAACATATATGGAAGAAAATACATTATTTATGTTTGAAATGATTTTTGGAATCCAAAAAAATTGTTTAACGAAAGAAAACGATCACCGAATTCTTCCTGCGCCCTTTCAACAAATAAATTAAAAGTTTACAATGGCACTGCGAAAACATGGTCACTTATGTATTTTGTCGACAATTGAAAAAAACTGGCCCAAGTTGTTTACGCAGATAGAGAACAAGATTACCATAAACAAAAAGTGGTTGCGGGTCGAAAAAAATTTAAACCGAGATTTTATGGGCGCAGCTAAATGGTGCCCAACGTTAAAAGGTGACCCCTCCCTCCCCACTATATATAATATTTGATTTTTAAAAATGTTGAAGTTTAGGTAGATCTTCGAGGTTTTGTACGTTTCGAGTGTTGATGCCGGAAATATGAAATATGTTAAGTTGGATTTAAATCGATTCAGATATAGATATACCCTAGTAATAATTTTCCGATTTCACATAATTGACGCAAAATTGATACAATCGCACTATCTTCTGAAGGAATTGAGAAATTTTGCATAGAGTCGTCTTTTGTTTGCAAGCAGGTCAAGTTCGAAGATGGGCTATATCGGTCCACCTTAAGGTATAGCCGCCATATATGGGTACCCCCCATTTGACGATATTTTGGAGGTATTTTTAAGTGCGTTTTTAAACTGAATTCGACGAAATTTGGTATGATGGGTTCTTATTGGGCACCAAAATTCTTCAATAAAAATTATAAATATAGGATAATTTTTTCGGGTAGCCCCCATATTAAACAGCCTCAGTTTTCGGTATTTTGGGGTTCTTTAGCTCCTTTTTCAAACCGAATTCGCTGTAGTTTGGTATTTTATAGTCGCATATGGTAACAAATCTTCCTACCAAGTATTATTAATATTCTCCCCCTTTATTCGTTACTCGAAATAGTTAGTTTTACCCTACAAATTAGGGAATTTTAAGACGATTCGGTAGTAATCATGTTCAAAGCTGCCCCTTGAATGTGTTCAAAGGTGGGCTGGTGTGGCATTAAAAAATATAAAATATAATCTTTTGAATGCAAATAATTGTTTAACGAAAGAAAATGCGTTACGGGTGGAAGCGATTTTTAATCGCTAAGCGTTACAATGTGATTCTTAGAACACTTCTTGGACATACCCAAAGCGTAGGTCATCGTATTTTCCTTAACATTGTGTACTTTTTCCCTTTGCAGATCTCGACCAAATTCTGTTTTCGTTTCGTGTAAAGTTTTACCCTGCAGATCCATTTCGGCTGACATATCATGGGCGCATTATGTTGTATCAGCAGTTGAAACGAGATCTACGACATGGACGTATATATTGCTCAATAGGAGAAGCTGCAGCACTGGGATCACTCATTGTCCAGGGTAATTAACTTTTTGCGTTTTAAGAATTAGTAAAAATAATTTTCTTTTAGAAGAACTTGGGGATTACAACGAAGAAATTCACAATGAAAACTACGTTGCGTCAATGAGCCTGGCCTTACGTCAAACGGAATCACTTGAAAGAAAAATTATGGAGCTTCATAAGAAACGTGTACCAGGACAAAACACCCGTGAAGTAATAAATGAATTTTTAAGTATTGTAAGCGGCTTAGAAACGTATGGAATAGATCCCCATCCTGTAAAGGATCATCGAGGTTCCCAATTGTACATTGGTATCAACTATTCCGGTATAAGCACATTTATTTGCGGCAAACGTTCGCAACATTTCCGTTGGAATGAAGTGCAAAAAATTAATTTCGAAGGCAAGATGTTCATTGCTCATTTAAGTTACACCGATGCAAGTAGAGAAGCGGTAAGTCTAGTATGTAGTTTTATCTATGTGAAATTTGGGAATTTTTTTGTTAGGAAAATTCGGTGGTCAGTTGTTGGTTTTGTTCAGAGACTAATCCGCTATATGCCCATGTGCTGCATTTCGAGTTTGCTCGAATGTGAAACATTTCCCCAAATTTGGTGTGTTCCATTCCGAATTCCCAAAAAAATATTGGGAATATAATTCGAGCACATATAGCCTTGTGGATTGAAAACGAAATGAGATCGTACGTGTTTTTCTGAGCACGTACAAATTGAAAAAGAACGCTGACGTAATATTTAACGTGTTTTTACAATATTCCTTTAAAAAATACAGTATTCACATTAGTTTTTATAGTAAAATTAAAGAAAATATAAAAGTTCTCCTTTTATTAAAAACAACGCGTAACATTTTTGAGATCAATTTGGCAACTCAACCACCATATGATCAAAATAAAAATAGAATCTATAAAAAATCTACTTCTAAGATTTCCAATAGTCCTTCTAATAATGTTTCTTACAGTTGTGCGCACTTTATTATATCGATGTTGACAAGATCCATGCTCCACTTGTTTATAGGACGTCAAAAAAATGTTCCTAAAGCGTAACCACTGTCTCATAGAAGCCAACTATTTTGCGTACCATTTCCTCTTTTGTTAATGC